CCCCCCCCCCCCCCCCCGACACACACACACACACACACACCCTACTCCCGGGACAGGACCGCTTCAAACAATTTTCCACCGCTGGGCCCGAAGGGCTGGACTTGTCCCGGGAGTTCACCCGGGGGAAGGATGGTAACAAGTATAATTCAACCATGCATTATAATTATACCTGGATTTTTGAAAACCGAGTTCGCAAAAATATCAACTTATTCTACTACTTGGCAATTTAAAACAATAAAACTCGTTCAAGGCAATTAAAACTTATCTGACGCAGTATGATTCAATGCTATTAGAGCCCGCTGAAACTAGACCTAGATCCAATTTTCCACAAATATTTTGGCTGAAACCGCAGTTCAACAACGCGATCACATACCTGTCAACAACATGCGGAAATCACACAATCACTGATAAGCACTCAAGCACTGATAAGACTATCCACAACCACGCATTATCTTCTCACGTTTAACATAGATCTTCTTCTCAATTTCAACTCATCGTTTTTTACTTCTTTCTGCTAAAAGCATCCTCTCGTGGAGAGACGGAAAGAAAATTAGCTCTTTAACTAGTGGTGGTTCATCCTGGAACTCATCAACTTCAAGTTATCTGGAATTTGATTCACGAAAATTCAGAAGACAATTACGAATTCTCAAGCGCTGGACAGTATAGTTTTACACTGAGAAAATTTAAGTGTTTTCACTTCCAAACGGCCGGATTTAGAGTAACAGTGGAACTTCAGTTAAATATACTACAATCCTTTAGCGGCATAGAAGAACGGGGGAATACAAATAACTTTTGCCTCAACTAACCTTGACCCGCCGTGTTTACTGATGAACGAGCAAGTTTTTGCGATCTAAAAGCAGTTTCATTAAATGGAACAAAGATCTGAAACCAGATTGAGATACCAATCTGAACGATCCACGTTCAGAGGTAGATCGTTCGGATTGCAATCTTAGATTGGTTTGGTCCTTAATGGAACAACAAATCGAATTTTCGATCGCAAAATCCGGATTTAGATTGGCTAAAAGGAATGCAACCCAAATGAAACGAGAATATAATACGATATTGGACGATGCAGACTCTGCGAATCGTAATAACTTTGTCCCATCTCAGAGCTTTACATAGTGCTCTCCTTGAAACATTTCTCAAGGTAACCAATATCTAAAAGTAAACTGCTAAACGGCACCGAAACCAACTTTAGACGCTCACTGATTTCAAATAACTGTCACTGTCAAACAACTGTCAAATAACTGTTATTAAAAAGAGAATTATGGGTAGGGACAAAAAATAAATAAAAGGAAGGGAGGGAGGGGGGTAAGATAGTAATTCTGTCTACATCCACTTCTACACAAACCCCTAATCACAAAACAAGCAAAAAAAGAAACGACACAAGCAAACAACACAGCAAACAAGCTATTAGACAGGGGAAGTTGAGAAAAATCACAAAATGTTTGCTAACCCGGTTTTCATGACTCCAGGTAGAATTATATTTGTTCAAACGAGATTTGTCGCAATATTCTTTAATATTCTGGTACAAGGTTTTTGTCCACTGAAAATTAATAGTACTCAATTTCCTGATAGATTCCGTATTAATACTTACTCCGTCCATAAAGCAGAAAAGATCATTCGTAGAGACATTGAAAAGAAAGAGGTTCAAGGATTGACCCCTGAGTAACGCCTTTTTTAACTGGCATCCAAGTAGAAACATCGTCGTTAACTTTTATTCTTTGTGACCTTCCAGTAACTAAAGATAATTCCGCATCAATGCAATGCCAGTTTCGGCTACTCCGTACGCCTTCACCTTAGCCAGTAGCAAACCATGAGGTACACAATCGAATGCTTTGGACAGATCTAGCGATATCACAGTAACAACTTCCTTATTATTTAGGCTAGCCCTCCTACCCTTATTAAAGGTAGCAACGTGGTCTCACAGCGATAATTCTTTCGATATATGCAGATATAACGTCAGACAATATATCTTTAAAATAACCCGATAATTGATTTGACAAGATTCTTTCACAGATGTTGTTTTAGACTAGTAATACAGTCACCCGCCGAAAACTCTTTCATCTCCTTTTTTGAAAAGAGGTGTTATCTGGCACATTTTCCACCTAATCGTAGTCGTAGTGGCGGAAAAAACTTATCAACTGGTGTTATCTGGCACATTTTCCACCTAATCGTAGTCGTAGTGGCGGAAAAAACTTATCAACTGTTAGAAGTTCTATCATTTTGGGATTGTTTTTCATTTATAAACATTTACCCTGCAACAGAGAATGTTGTTTGGATGCCATTATTGAATATGGTAAAATTTGTGCTACGAATAATACCGTATTTATTCGATTAGGCGCCCTGGGCGCTTATTGCATTTTTGGGCCTCAAGAGTGAGTGAACACTTATCGAGGTGGGCGCTTGTTCGAGGTTGGGCGCTGGGCGATAAATTTTCATCATTTTCGACAAGTAGTAAGTGAAATTTTCTAAATAAAGGTGAAGATGAGTCAGAGAAGAATTATAACTATTCATTGAAAGTTTATTTTAAAAAAGACTAAGAACATGCTTCTTCGGGGAAATTTCTTACTAGTACCTAAACAAAATTTATCTTATTATTTGTCAATAAGGTCAATAAGCAAACTCTCTGGTGTTGAAATTTCAATGGACAATAAAGATGTAATGGCAAAGGAATACTTATTTGGAACTACTACGTGATTGTTTTTTGACTCCTCTTCTGTTGAATATTGTCGACTATCCAGCTCCGATCCTGACACCTTTTGACACCTTTGACGATTTTCAAGTTTTGATAAAGATGGCTCTGACAGTCATCGAACTGACTGTCAGCATCATTAAGACTTTTCTTGGCAATGTTTTGAGACCATTTACATAGATTTTAACTTTACTAGCCTGATGAATTTCTTCAAGATAGGAGCAGCTCCGCTACTAAAGTACGATGGCCCAAAAACAAAAGTCTTTATAATATTATGCCGGCACATTCTCCAGAAAATTGTCTTGGAAGACGTTGCTATAAACACGTATCAAGCGTTTATTTTTGTTGGCAGATATAGGTACATTGATAAAGATGGCAAAGACGAAATCATCGACCTTTCATTGCTGTGTTGCTTTGGTATTATTCACGCTGTCTTTGGTTTCGCTTGCGATGGTGATCGAAGTTAAGGATGAACAATCTCCCAGTGCTGGTAAGCGAAGAGGTTATGTATCTTTAAGCGGGTGTAACCATTGTTGGTTCGCGTTTGTGTTGTGGTGTAGATATTATTCAGTGTCTTTTCAATCTTTTGTATGACGTTATTTCGTGATTGTCGCCCGTCCGCAACACCATGATCTAACCGGGTTTAAGTCCCAAGAGAGACCAATGTCAATTTTCTCCCAACATTATCGATACGTGATAAAAAGAAAATTTATAAGAATTACTAATTTTATCACATAAGGAAAAATGCTTTGATCTTTGAAAAAAGTCTCTCAACTAATTCTTTAAGGAAAGGTATGGATATCAGTATGGAAAATTTGTATGTAGATATTGGGACTTAAAGGCATAAACCGGTGGCAAGTAACACCACATGAGTCACTAAACGGAAGACACTTCTCTGTGCAAACAAAGAGGAAACTGGGCGGAGCTTTCTTGGGAATACTTGTGCACCTTAATTTAAATAAATCCTTACACAGTAAATGTAGAAAAATTAAATGTATTGTCACACCAGAAGTATTTTGAATCTCCGATCCGGATTATTTGGACCAAAACTGATTTCCATTTACATCACAGTCAATCCCCATTTTTTGTTGTTGTTGTCGTTTTTTTTCAAATTCCGGTGTTTTCAATCTTTCTTTGTTTTTCCATATTAGAGAGGTTCAAAAATCGGAATTTTACAGCAGTTTTTGTTTTCTTTATTATATAAATAGCAGGTGCGGAGGCCGCAGAATGGTTAGAATCCGCCGGAGAAGAAGCTAACAAAAGAACAGTTGTCGGTGGAAAACACGGCCGTAATAATGGCAAAAACGGAGGAAAAGGCAGTCCGGAACGCAAGCAACGGAAAACAAAGAAGAAAGGAGGTAATGGGGGAAAAGGTAATGGTGGAAAAGGTAATGGTAATGGTGGAACTGGTTCCGAATGCAAACCACCCAGGTCGGGTCCATTAAATAGAGGCGAAATATATATGGTTACAATGAGTGGTTCTGCCCGAGGCTTCACCGCACCAACGTTCGTGAAAGTGGGTTTTACAAACAACTGCACGCAGCGATTTGGAAACCTAAAGGCTGGAAATCCTTTTAAACTGAATTGTCATGTAAGGTATAAAGTTTGTATGAAGTTACCCGCAGAACAGGCAGCCCACGGTGTAATATCAAACAAAAGCATTAACATGGGAGGAGGAACAGAATGGTTCTATTACCGAGATAGTGGTGATCTAGAATCAATGCGACAAAGGGTTAGAGCCGCAATTGATCCGTGGGTAGAGGCGGCTGGGAGTAGCAGCGACTTGGTTGAATCGTCCATTAATCCGTGTCTTGCTCCTACTCAAGCAGGCGCAATCATGCCCACAAACTATAATTACGGGAATTTCAACCCGCGGTTTGCCGGCGTTTACAACGCAAAGTGGCGACAAACACTCCAAGGAAATGTATTGCAAATTAAATATAATTGTAAATAACAAGTTTCTAAAGTTACCTGCGACAATTGCCAAAATATTCCTCCTTAAGAAAAACGATTAACGGCTCTCTGTTTTTTAATCGATTTTCATGCATTTTGAATGACATGCATGGTCTCCTGTGTTTCTCGGCTCAACAATCCTTGTAACGTCTTTCTCGGAAAATGCTCCAATCCTTAAACAAGTCAGTTTTGGTCGTCTTTATCCAGCGGCCACACACGCCTTCGAGTCAAATTTGCCAAAATTGTACCTCTTCCATAATCCTCTGCATTAGAACAAGAAAATTCTTACTTCAAGAAAATCAGTGAACCTAACTCCTNTGCAAATTAAATATAATTGTAAATAACAAGTTTCTAAAGTTACCTGCGACAATTGTCAAAATATTCCTCCTTAAGAAAAACGATTAACGTCTCTCTGTTTTTTAATCGATTTTCATGCATTTTGAATGAGCATGCATGGTCTTCTGTGTTTCTCGGCTCAACAATCCTTGTAACGTCTTTCTCGGAAAATGCTCCAATCCTTAAACAAGTCAGTTTTGGTCGTCTTTATCCAGCGGCCACACACGCCTTCGAGTCAAATTTGCCAAAATTGTACCTCTTCCATAATCCTCTGCATTAGAACAAGAAAATTCTTACTTCAAGAAAATCAGTGAACCTAACTCCTTTGTTCCCTACTTAACTTCAATCTGCAATTGAATGCTCCCAAAATGACTCATTTGTATCTAGGGACAATTCATCCCGATTGCAGTTTTTCTTATAACACTTATCAAGAGCCAAAATGGGACATTATGGCTCTTGGCCATTGGCTTATCAATTCTGATCAGCGGCTTTTGTTTTCTTTAGGACGCGTGCAGGTCGAAATGTCCTTAATCATCAGGTTAATTTCTGGAGATGAGATCCACTCCCTGATTTACATATTAATGAAAAACTACCAGTTTTTAAAGAGACCCGAGGGTATCTCGACTAAATTAGGAAATCCACTGTTTAGCAATGTCATTAAGTATTAAGACACTGTTCACATTATAAAAGTGTAATAAACAAGTGTTTTAATCAGTCTATTTTGCTACGTCTCGTCAACAGAAAATATAAGAGTGAAGAAAGATCATCGCAGTAAATTTTCCAATTGGAAAATTTACTGCGATGATCTTTCTTCACTCTTATACAACCGCAGTTCAAAAATGAATAATTTCATATACTTCGCATCAGTTAAAATATAGTATAACATTTGAGATGATCAAAAAAGTAACAATTAATAGCCTGTTCCATTTACTTTAACAAATTCATTACAGATATGAATAACTTCATTTTTATTCGCCAAAAGAAAAAAGATAAATATATTCGGCCACTATTCACCTCGAGTTCAAAGAACAATTGTTAACTACTCTGCCCGGCCTCAGAGCGACACCAAACTCGCGGAAGTTATATTAGGAGCAAAATGGCTTCCGGTTTGCCACCGTAACAAACGAAGAAATTTCACAAATATGCGCTAAAGCTGTTCCCGAAAAACACGAAGACTACTGACGGGGTCTTATTAGACGTGACTGACACCGCCCCACCGTTGAGGTACACGGGCGTTTCAAGGTTAACTGTAGCCTGCGAGCAGGCTCACTTGTGCGAGGGTCTCAATGAGGTGGCAGCTTTGACGGTTGACGGTTAGGCTTTTCCAATTTTGGTGGTTGACGGTTATTAAGTGGAAATTTGAACTAACAGTTACCGTTTATGCTATTTGTATTTCGGAGGATGTCTTGGCCTTACACTTCTAGAATCTCGAAATATTTTCAGATACAAGCAAGTTCTAAGGTCTTGTAATGTCTAGAGAGTGTGTTTTTGGAAACACAGGAACTGATTTTTCCAGTGTGAAGGTTCTTCATGACGCAGAAGTCTGTGAAGATTAGCTTTATTAGAGAGATTTGAAATACCTTGAAACTTTTTAACGGTCTGCATTTTTGACCGGTTGAGGGTCAAAAAAATCTCTTTTTTGACGGTTGACGGTTTAATTTCAAACCCTTTGACGGCTGACGGTTAACCCCATCGAGACCCTCTTCAACAAGTTCGGAAAACTGTTTTGGCAGCGAAGCCGCCATCCCGCGAGAACAATGGGCCGACGGAGGGTGATAGCACAAAACAAGCTTCATCTCGTTTCAAACAAGACGTTGCGGTTAACAAAGAAGTTCTTTTTCGATATGCTCCGCATTATTGGATAATTATACGTACTTCCTAACCACCTACCTACTGGTCAGCGGTCACGTTGAAAAGAAGTTATTCAAATGCAAAATTAGCAGTGATATAAACCCCAGGAGGCGGCGTGATAACGAGTTCTTCCTTTCGTCCTTTACAAGGTCAGCGAGTTCGTTTATATTTATCTATTTTACGTTCCTTGGTTTGTTTTCGCTTTTTCAAGGGTTGTTCCTTGTTCGTTTACTCGCATTTGTTCTTTTCGTCGCCTTACTCTTTCTTTTAGCTTCCGTCGGTTATTTGGCGCTGGACAGTCGACAGCAAGAGTTTCGCTTGTGATGGTGATGTCTTCGCCAGCCAGCGCTAACACTGCACCTTTGGAACCCAATGTGGTGATTGCGAATGAAGTTTACGACGCGGTTGAGGTCGACGACACAGACCAAGTGGAATTTGATTTGGATGAGTTGAAGGAACAGCTCGGAATCGACAGTATTCTTGAAAAGTCCAACGACCTTGCTGCGAAGTTCTGTAGCGCGAAAACTATAGTACTAAGTACTTTGGTTCAGAGGCTCAAAATTCAAAGTCCTCTTCAGAAAGCGCCGAAGGGGCTTTTGACTCCTCGGCCGCAGTAGTTTCACACGATGGCCCTTCTACTAATGAGCCTCACGAGGAGGAGTTTAAGCTCCCTTCGGTGTTCGAGGAAAGCGAAAGGCTTGGGCCTGAAGTGGCTGAGGTCATTGCTCAACGTGTCGATGACGCATGCTCAAAAAGAGCCATGGATTCAAAGTTAAAGGATCTGTACGAGAAGTATAAGACTCCTGCTAATTGTAAATACTTGTGTGAACCAAAAATTGTGGCACGATTTGTCTAAGGAGTCTAAATCCAAGGACCTCGGTCTTCAAGAGCTCCAGAAAGGCATTGTCAAGGCATCATGTACAGTTGTTTCATTCAGCACTTAAAGCTCGTAAAGACATGTCTTCAATGGATCCCAATGCTTTGCTACCTTTATTGGCAGAGGCTGTTACCTATCTAGGGCATGCCTCGTTTCTTACATCTCTTAAACGAAGAGAGTTTCTTAAACCAGATATCACTAAGCCTTTTCAGTCTGTTAGTAACAAGTCGAACGCCATTACAACTTGTTTGTTTGGGGATGAATTGCCCAAGCATATTAAGGAGATCAGAGAGGTCAATAAGATATTTAGGAAGGTGTCTGGCCGTCCGACTTCAAGCAAGAACATGGTCAGTTCTTACAAGAGAGGGCCTGATGCACCCAGCAGGAGCTACCCACAGAAGTCTGGCAGAAGGTCCACTTTTTTAGGCTTTACCGAGGTCGTGGAAGTTACTTTTGTATGACCGGCGGCAACAAGAAGGAGGACGATCAGTTAAAATAACCAGCACCAAACCACAGAAGGACAAAGTGTAAACAAGGTAAATGTACACTCTGTACCTTTGTTACAGGCTGGTAGTTTATCTGGGAATTTACCCAAATGGAGGGAGTTTACTAGTGATCCATGGATCTTACAAACTGTCTCAGGTTATCACCTTGAGTTTGAGACAACCCCTCATCAAGTAAATCTTCCATAAATTTAGTGAAAGGGACACTGCTTTAATTGAGTCAGAGATTAAAAGCTTATTTTCAAGGGCGCTGTGACTAGGTGTCTCCTTGTGATAATGAATTCATTTCTACAGTCTGTTTGGTTCCCAAGAAGACCGGGGACGTTCGGCCAGTTATAAACCTTAAGCCCTTAAATCAATTTGTCGAAAAGATTCATTTTAAGATGGAGAATATCCGCATGGCCTTGAATTGTATTTCTTCTGGGGACTTCATGGTCTCTATTGACTTAGCCTGCGTAGCAAGCGTTTCCCGTCAAATTACAACGCGAAAGTTCAAGAGTGGGAGCAAAAATAACATGGAAGGGGGAGAGGAGAGGAGAAGAGGAAACGCTTGCTCGCAAACCCCACGATTCTGGAAAAAGCCCCTTGATATTTCACGGTTCGGTTCATTTGAAATTGACAGCTTGTCAAGATAGATAACGAATAGATTACCAGATTTGAAAAAATAACTTTGTTCCCTAAAACACGCTCCACGCGATTGCAAAACTGTAATAAAAAGAAGCTTTACTATAAAAGAAGNACCACAGAAGGACAAAGTGTAAACAAGGTAAATGTACACTCTGTACCTTTGTTACAGGCTGGTAGTTTATCTGGGAATTTACCCAAATGGAGGGAGTTTACTAGTGATCCATGGATCTTACAAACTGTCTCAGGTTATCACCTTGAGTTTGAGACAACCCCTCATCAAGTAAATCTTCCATAAATTTAGTGAAAGGGACACTGCTTTAATTGAGTCAGAGATTAAAAGCCTATTTTCAAGGGCGCTGTGACTAGGTGTCTCCTTGTGATAATGAATTCATTTCTACAGTCTGTTTGGTTCCCAAGAAGACCGGGGACGTTCGGCCAGTTATAAACCTTAAGCCCTTAAATCAATTTGTCGAAAAGATTCATTTTAAGATGGAGAATATCCGCATGGCCTTGAATTGTATTTCTTCTGGGGACTTCATGGTCTCTATTGACTTAGCCTGCGTAGCAAGCGTTTCCCGTCAAATTACAACGCGAAAGTTCAAGAGTGGGAGCAAAAATAACATGGAAGGGGGAGGGGGAGAGGAGAAGAGGAAACGCTTGCTCGCAAACCCCACGATTCTGGAAAACGCCCCTTGATATTTCACGGTTCGGTTCATTTGAAATTGACAGCTTGTCAAGATAGATAACGAATAGATTACCAGATTTGAAAAAATAACTTTGTTCCCTAAAACACGCTCCACGCGATTGCAAAACTGTAATAAAAAGAAGCTTTACTATAAAAGAAGGTTGCAACTCTAAGCGATTGCTGCGGAATTTCTTGTTCTTTATAGTTGAGTTAAAACTTTAACGTTATGTGGCTTTATCTTATCTGAAACCTTGTCAAAACGTCGCAAAGAAATGATTTGTCCGGAACAATTCACTCCGCCGGCTATGAGTTTTGCAGAACAGCTGCTCTCCATAGGCCAGCCAGTGTCGAAAAGTTCAGTACAATACATGCCGCTCAATTTCCAATCACTTGTCCATGGCAGCTCTAGCTAGTGTCGATGTTCTGATTTACGTTGATGTTATCTCCAACAAACAGTCCATTTTTTTCCAGTCAGATACGCACCCCGTCATTCCCAATAAATTGGCCTTCACTAGTCTCCACTGCTCGATCTCCAATTATACTTTTGATCGAAGGGACTCAGATCTGATAAACCTTCGCACAAACATGATTCAAATAAATATCAGACCAAAGCATTTGTAATCTGCGACCACAAATCAGAACAGACCAAATCTCCCACGTACGTAAACAAAACATACCTTGGCTCTNGAAAAGTTCAGTACAATACATGCCGCTCAATTTCCAATCACTTGTCCATGGCAGCTCTAGCTAGTGTCGATGTTCTGATTTACGTTGATGTTATCTCCAACAAACAGTCCATTTTTTTCCAGTCAGATACGCACCCCGTCATTCCCAATAAATTGGCCTTCACTAGTCTCCACTGCTCGATCTCCAATTATACTTTTGATCGAAGGGACTCAGATCTGATAAACCTTCGCACAAACATGATTCAAATAAATATCAGACCAAAGCATTTGTAATCTGCGACCACAAATCAGAACAGACCAAATCTCCCACGTACGTAAACAAAACATACCTTGGCTCTCATCCCAACTTTCTCGACGAACTCGCGCGGAAACGCTTGCTATCCAGGCTACTATTGACCTTAAGGATGCTTATTTCAGTCAGGTACCTATTTTTCAGCCCCATCGTAAATACTTACGTTTTCTTTGTAATTTCAAGTGTTATAAGTTTACTTGCTTACTTTTTGGGAACAGCCTTGCACCCAGGGTTTTCACTAAGATTTTTAAGCCTTCTTATAGCATATTTTAGATTTCTTGGCTTCAGGGTTATTATTTTCGTTGATGATTTCATACTTATTGCAAGCTCATTTGATGAGTGTTTACAGCAACTTGAGGTCTTAAAATAAACTCTTTGTGAGTTGGGCTTTACTTTCAATGTTGAGAAATCTCAGCTAGTTCCTGTCAATGAGATCCTTTATTTGGGTTTCATAATGAATTCCATAGCAATGAGATTGCAGTTGCCGGCGGTTAAGTTAGAGAAAATAGCCTCGGCCTGTAAAGCCCTTTTAGCTAAGAATCAACGTAGTGTTAGGGATGTTGCTAAACTAACTGGGCTGTTAGTTTCTGCACTTCCGGCTGTGAATTATCTAGAGATGCATTACCGTTCCTAAGAGTTATGCAAGACTCAGACTTTGTCTGGAAGCCTTGATTATGACAAGACACTCTCTTTAAGCTCTCAAGCTCGTTTTGACTTGTAATGGGTCATTGAGAATATTACCCAGTGCAATGGTAGACTTTTTCAGGTTCCGAAATTGATATTTACATCCAGAGTGATGCAAGTTTGATTGGTTGGGAAGCCGTGACTGGTAGTCTGTCTGCATCTGGCCGATGGTCTCAAAGTGAATGCAAACATCATATTAATTAACTGGAATTTCTAGCATCATTTCATGGTCTCCAGTGTTTTGTGTTTAACTCAAGATCCATTCATGTTAGACTTGCAGTTGACAATTCCACTGCAGTGGCCTATATTAATAATATGGGGGGTGTACGATCCCCCTTATTAGATTCATTGTCCAGAAGTATTTGGGAATGGTGCAAGTTGAGGGATGTTTTCGTTCCTGTTCAGCACATCCCAGGGAAGGTTAATACTCAGGCCGATACCTTATTCAGGAAAATCTCCTCTAATTTGGAGTGGTCCTTAAATGGTTGTGAGGTTTTTCAGGAAATTATTTCTCAAACCTTTATTCCTGAGATTGACCCTCTTGGCATCTAGGCTTAATACCAAAACTGTAAAGTTTATCTCCTGGCACCCACAGCCAGGTGCAGTGGCTATAAATGCCTTTTCTTTGAGCTGGGCTAATGAATTGTTATGCCTTTCCTCCTTTTAGTTTGCTACCACGAGTACTAGCCAAGGTTCGCTACGACAAAGCCTTAGTTTTGTTAATTGCACTGGTATGGCCTACCCAGAGTTGGTATCCACTTCTGTTACAGTTGTCAACAGTCCAGCTAATCTTGTTGCCTCTTCTAGACAACTGGCCTCCTGAACTGAACTGAACTTGGCTGCTTGGAAGTTATCAGGAAAACTCTGTCAAAAAAGGGATTTTCAATTAAAAGCAAGCAGTTGACATCACCTGTGCATCTTGGACAGCAGGCACTGAGAAACAGTACAAGGGAGCGTGGGACAAGTGGTCTGGTCGCTATCTTAAACGGCAAATTGATTCACTTCAAGCTTCTGTCATCCAGCAGGTTGTAGAGTTCTTAACTGCTTGTTATCATGAAGGAAAAGGATACAGTACCATTAACACTTACCGTTCTGCACTATCTACAACGCTTTGTTCCATGAATGATGATCGAGATTCTCTTGGTTTACATCCTTTAATAGCGAGATTACTCAAGGGAGTTTATATTCTCATTCTCATCAATGGCTAGGTGAATCATGTCAGTTTTACAGTCCGCAAGGATTGACTCTTCGAAATTTAAGGCACACAGTATAAGAGAGGCTGCCACATCTCATGCGTATGTCACAGGCACCCAGGTTGTAGATATCCTTAAGATGGCAATTTGGTCTAGTGAGCATGTTTTTCGCAGACATTATTTTAGAGATGTTCTAGTCTAAGAGTAGGTCTAAGCGTTTAACCTAATAAATGCCTTATTTTGCTGTATATGGAATTGTTTAGTGTTTTTAGGCCGCGGTTCTTTTAAATCGCATAATTATCTCATAATGCGGAGCGTATAGAAAGAGAAATGAAAATTAGACGAGGGGTACTTACCTTGAAGCGTAATTGAAGTTTTCTTAAGATATGTGGAGCATTATGGGATAATGCTTCCCAACCCTGTCTCTTTTTCCTTTTCGATGTTCCCACCCTTAGTTCTCTTGAGGACCTTGGCCTAAATCATATTCGCCCTCCAGGAAGAACTGGTTATCACGCCGCCTCCTGCTAATTTGCATTTGAATAACTTCTTTTAAACGTGACCGCTGACCAGTAGGTAGGTAGGAAGTATGCATAATTATCCCATGATGCTCCACATATCTTAAGAGAACTTCAATTACACTTCAAGGTAAGTACCTCTCGTCTAATTTTCATTTATGTGTTAGCTTCAATAGCCCAGTTTCGAATTAAAAATTACCGCTGAATACAATCATTAACGACACATTCATGCAGGGTTACCCTCGATATAGCCTGAAATTCATCCGATTGCTTCGAGTCGTTTTCTCCTCTCACCAACTTCTGAATCAACCGGCCGTTAATGCCGTCCAGTGACGTCACTCACTACCAGAAAACCGGGTAGTTATTTTGATTGGTTGATTGTCTAAACATTCGCATAATTATGTATAATTATGAAAAATTTTAGCGGGATTGCGCTTGATATTCAGCGGATCGCATCCCCGGCATTCTTTGGTTTAGTTCAAACATTTCGATAAGCTTAATTGTCTTCGAAACTGAAATGCTAAATTGAACTGCGAATGAAGACTCATTGCGGAGAGTTGGTAGGTTTTTCATTTAGAGCCGCTTTGTGGTTTCGGCGGCCGGTGATTTTGTTTACGCGAAGTTTTCTGAGATCAATGTTATATTTCGACCTTCTTGCTATTTTTACCGTTAAGTGTAATGATTCTGTTAGCTTTTCTTTCTTGTCTCCTTGCCTTTTTTCTTCGTTAAGGTCCAAATAGCTTCTTTTCATTTTTAAGCAAATCATTGTGTTTTTGAACTAAGTGTTCCGTGTGTGTGTTTATTTCATTTGCGTGATTGCGACCGAGTTTGATTACAGAATTTAGTACAACCGCTTCAGAGTTGTACTGCATGCAGTTGATAGTTTGAACGTTAAACATGAATTACAATCGAAAAAAATAAAGCAGTTCTGTATCATGCAGACATTTCCAAACGATATTTCGCGGTTTGCCACTTGAAAATCGTGTTTTAGTTTTTGCTCGAATTAAAGCAAAGGTCAAGGAGTAGTGACGTCACTGGACGGCATTAATGGGCCTGTCGACTCAGATGTTACTGAGGAAGTAATAACGACTCGAAGTAATCGGATGAAATTCAGGCTACCCTCGATTTAAAGTAAAGTATTTAGAAATCCGGCATGTAAGTGCTTGAAATTTGAATATACTCAATAGACAGAGTAACAACACAATAGGCAGAGTAATGAAAAAGCCTTTTTCTCGTTGGGATATATTAATTCAGCGGTCATATATAGCGAACTCGAGACTGGACTATTTCAAACAAGAATACACAGGTGAGATGTCGGAGACAGTGGCAACGTGAAACCCAGCGTGACACCAAAAAATTCTGGAAGCGATTGTTTTCTACCACGAGTGCTCTCAAGCCAAGTCAGGTCAAGTCAAGTCAAGTAACTTTATTTAAATTCGGTAAAAACATCAGGCATATAACTAATTTTAAATTCTAAGCTATTCTTGTAATATATATCTAGCTGGATTTATGAAAACCGCACCAGCTGGCTCCTCGGGGCCACACACCTTAAACCAACTCAACTAAAGTAAATAGAGCGATTTTCGTATGACCTCGAAATGAAAACGTGCTAACAAAACAGGAACAACAAACGAACGGAAATAGAGCGATTTGATTGGTTTATCGAACAGATACAAACGCACGCGGCTTTTGGTTGGTTGAGCGAACGCTCGGGTGAAAAAACTTCACGCCCCAGAACTTTCTAGAAATCAACCGATGCTTCGCTTTGACGTCATACTGCGACGTGACTGGCCAATCGAACAATGCCTTTTCACGTTAGGGTTTTCTTTGGCGGGAAAACGAAGAGGCCATGTTTTGACCTATTCATCCATTGGCTGATGAAACAAATAAGAAACACTTACCGAAACCATTTTTCAAGGTCATACGAAAATCGCTCTANAATTATTTATAGAAATAGCTTTCGCGGAATATTTTTCACGCCTTCTCAGTAACATCCAATCAGAGCAGAGCTATGATCATACGTCACACCCTGAGTCACAGAAGTGCGATTTGAATTGCTGTCAACAATGGCGGTAGCCAGCGTGGAAGAGTTATCCGATGATAGTTTTCATCTTCTATCGGGTTAAAAATATCCGCTTAAAGCCTAATAAAATAAAATAAAAAAAAGGTGATATACTCATGCGACGTCTTCAAGTTTACTTGTAACCTTGACAGTTGGCTGCATATCATAAGTTTTATCGTGAACAACCCAGTACCGGCCCCCGACAGCGGGTAAATAAATATTGAAAATCAAGCTTTTTAGTTACTTTACTAAATTGAATTTATTGGTTAACTCACTTGTGCAATGCTTCGGAGCTTTTTACTAATTCCACAAAGGACCACACTGCATCAACCCACAGTTAATTTTGAAGTAAAAAAGTATGTTGTTCCAACTGTGTTACAGATCGAACACGGACTGCATCTTTCGCTTACGCGGCGGCTGTAATTGTGCGAGATCTGAGGTCGCGAATTATGAACGGAGTTTTATAAGCCAAATTAATGTAGCTGTGGATGAAAACGGATTTTTATAACATACAATCTCAACGGCAAATATTTCAAGAGAACATATCAAACAAAACAAACGAGATGTTCAACAGGAACGAAATCGAATTAAAAGCGAAATTTACTGTTGTGTACCTAACATACTGAGGGTTGTATTCACACAATACAACAACTGTCGATACAGAATCTACTGAGCCCGGCATTTTTCTCTTGCTACTACGAAACTAAGTAACATGTAAAAAAGGAAAATAACAGGCAGTCATAAAATTAAAAAAGGAGCGAGCCGATGGGGCTGGCGACTACAAAAGACTAAAATCCTTGAATGAAAGAATGATTCTCAAAGGCTTCACAGCGGAAGTTAGATGTTTCGTCATGTCACGTCCTCCTACATATTCCTTTTGCGTTTTTTTTTTATTTGAGGTCTACAAGTATATGCTGCGGCCATGAAATCTTAAATTGTAGCATCTTGAGAAATAGTGAGATGGCCAAACAGTGTTTGATTTCTTCCTGAGTTTGATAATTCTGTACTCAAAAGGTTTTTGTAGCTTTCATGTCTTGTAGCAACTAAATAAAAACTTATATAGCACCATCGATCAAAATCAATAAAAATCCGGACAACATAAACCGCTACCTTTCTTCACTTCGACGTTTTGCTTCTTTAAAGAAAATCCTTCAAAATCATGAGAAAACATCTTGATTTTCGCTAGCCCAGGTTGCGGTAGGTAAGACACAGAAGACACGACAGTTTCTACTCACACAAAGGCCGCGGAAGGCGCAAAATTCCTTCGATTTGCCGGTTCCAAGATCAGCCGTTACAGACCTTACCGCAAGCTCTCCAATTCCCTTTTAAAAAGTCTGGCTCTCCAACAAAGAGTTTCCCTTTTTAATTCTTTGAAAAGCTCCTTTTAAATAAGGGCGATGGAATACAACATTACGAGCAAAATTTAAACATCCGAACAGTGCTACAACAGCAAACACGACCTCCTGCGTTGGAACAAAATATAGCAATATTTTTAAGCCAGATTACATTTTATTTATATTAACTCGAAACCAGCTTTCCTCGGTTGAAAGGGAAGGAACGGAGGCAGGAGCTACGATGATGGAACAAGGAGTAAACTTGTTGGCCGATTTCCCTCTTTCGTCGCCATTTTTTCTCACTACAGAAATATGCGGACTTCCTCGAAAACACATTAATTTCACCGGAAAGCCTGTTCTAAAAATAATTCTTTACGGGAATGGGTTGACTCAAGGGTACAGCACATATGGAGGCTCCAAGTAATCCGCTCCTGTTGAGACTTAAGCAACTTCTAAGCAGAGAATTCAAGGCCACATCACCTCCCCCTGACCTTCTCCCACACCCCAGCCTAGCAAGTGTTTGAGGGGAATGTTTTCATTGGCCAATGGGCCTCAAAATTTGACATAACAAACTTAAGGCAGACATGGTGAGTGCACTGACTCTGCCAGAGCAAGACTAACGGACAGTACCAGGCTTTTGCAGCACCCTTCCCCCCTCTCCACCCCTAGGGATTGACATGGAGGCCCCTTCCTAACCCATGGCGAGTTTTATAGGAGCCTATGACTTAGCCTGCAGTGCAGGCGTATTTTGGGTGGGCGAAACCTTGCTCGTGTTCGTAATATTGTTGTAGCCGCCATCTTTGATTTTATGACAGTGGAAGATTGGGGAGAGTAGAAATAGTAACCCTTACGGTAGGTGCGAGGGCGAAAGAAGGAAAGGGGGGAGGGGGAGGGGAGAAAAAAAATACGCCTGCCCGATATCATTGTTCTTTTGGGAAACTCCGTACGCTGGCAAACGGAGATCCTGATTGGTGCGGCATAGGGAAGTAGATTGATGCCTGTCAATTAACTGTAAGTCTATATTGTTTATTCCGTTTCCGTCAGTCTTTTGGAATTGGAGCGGCTGGGAATGTCGCGCAATGAGAAAGTCAAAGCGATTTCTAC